CGATCACAGAACATCTTGTTCTCATTCCAGACTTTTTCGGTTGGAATTGAATTAGAACTGAAATGAAGTCAAAATCTTTCGTTAAAAACAAGTTCTGTGCTTGGCATGCAAAATCTGGAAATTAATATTATTATTATTATTAATATTAATATTTTATTATTAATATTATTATTAGGCTTGTGTAAATAGTGATTTTAGTCGAATAATTTTGAATCAAATTCAAATAGTATTTATGACATATATAAAAATGGACATATTTGTCGCTAGTCATGTCTTAGCTAATTGGCACAGAATTTTTATAAAACATAAATAAGGCCTCTATGCAAATGCCTTGTCTTGTTTTTGTTAAAAAGAAGTCAAAATAACTTTGAGTAGTAGAATTTGACCTTTGATGGGATAGGAGTGATAACCTGTAAAATACACAAGATTTTAAATTTTATTATACTGAGAGCAGATAAACCATCATGCAACAACCATGCTTAAAATAAATGATGAAGCGATTTGAGGGTAATATGTTAATTTAAAAGGGCCATGCAACATTTTTTCAAATAGTCATGGAATGGATTCACTAAAGAAGCTTATTGTCTCTCGAATTCTTTGCTGTAATAATTTTTAAAATCTGTCCAGTACGACAGGAGCTGCAAAGATTTGTCGCACTCGCCAATGTCATTCTCTCTTCTTGTGCCGATGAAAGCGCTGGAAGCTAAACAAGAAGGGATGGCACGGGGAAAGAAAATATGTCACCTGCGCCTTGTGACCTTGAGCACTTTTTGTATTTTGTTTTTCTTTGAATATGCGGCTTCTTAGTGCGATCGTGCCCCGCCGCGGTGGTCTAGTGGCTAAGGCACTCGGCTGCTGACCCGCAGGTCGCGGGTTCAAATCCCGGCTGCGGCGGCTGCATTTCCGATGGAGGCGGAAATGTTGTAGGCCCGTGTGCTCAGATTTGGGTGCACGTTAAAGAACACCAGGTGGTCGAAATTTCCGGAGCCCTCCACTACGGCGTCTCTCATAATCATATAGTGGTTTTGGGACGTTAAACCCCACATATCAATCAATCAATCTTAGTGGGATCGTGCACGTACGCATGGATAAGTGGCAGCCCCAGTAACGATCGAGCGCGCCATGCTCAAAACAGCCAATGGCTGATACATTGGCTGTGATGGCTGATTTTTGAGCTTGTGGTGTCATTTGCCGAAAGAAGAGAGCAATTTTTTGCTGACTGAGAATATTCCTCACTTGCAGGCCGTGTGCTGCGCTATAATATTTGATTCGCGTGTCCTCGGTAGCCTCGACCGCGGATCGGCACCGTTTTCTGACCATCCTTATGAAGTGTTGCAGGGCCGCTTTAAATGTGAAGTGAGGCTTCACGGCAAAGCAGGTTTTCTTTTTTTTTTAAATAAATGCTTTCACAGCTTAGCACTCCTACCAAGCAGTAAAACTACTTCTACAGGCAGTTACATACGGACTAATATACATTTATTTGTTCATTGTGAATACTTCGAAATTTTCAATAATGAAATTCAAATTTTAGTGAATTGAAACACTGTACTATTTTTTAAATATTTGAAGCACTTGAATAATCGCACAAGACTTATTATTATTATTATTATTATTATTATTATTATTATTATTATTATTATTATTATTATTATTATTATTATTATTATTATTATTGTGCTTATCTGCACAATTTTAGTAGGAATTATATAGGGACATCACTCCGTGTATACTATATTGGTCAGACTGAAAAGGAACTGTATACATTTTGTAAATTTTTGAGAACTGATGTCCTACAATTATGCACATGACAGGCTTGAGCGAGTACCATGGACAAAGAAGTCTTGACAAATTACGGTTTTCAGAGATGGCAGAAAATAGAACGATTGTGTCAATGCACATATTTTAGCGTAGTCATCGGGGCTAGTTTACTTCCACAAATGTTCAGGCCAATTCAGAATTCTGTACATAGCACACCCAAACTGGACTAGGTTGCACTGCTCATTTTTTAACTGCGTGCCAAGGCATTGTGGAAATAAGACTCGCAGCACTCGTAGTTATACAGTGAAATCTCGGTATAATGAACTTAAGAGGGTGTGGCAATTTGTTAGTTATTTTTAAAGGTCGTTATAGTGAAAGCCCAAAAATTAACCATAAATACTTATTTCCCACCGACCAAAACAACTTACCTTTACAACGATGCGTCTTTGAACTCGTTTTTCACGGTAAAAAAACTAATGCACAAGTGAACACCAATAAATGCACATTTACTTTGAAGAAGTCTAGCCTTTTTTTTTTTTTTGACGCGTGCAGCAAAAACATTGCAGCGCGAAGGGCCCCAGTTCATCCACATTCCTGTGGTGCGATTCGGTTCTTTGGTCACAACAGTCTGCTTTTTGCCTTCCAGTTGCCGAAGAATATTCACTTTCTCGCTTAGCGAAAGCTGATTCCGCTTCTTTGTCGCAAGCTGAGATGAACTCATTCGTAGTAGCACCACAACCCGAACGCCAACTTGCTTTGAGGAGGCGATAAGTAATCACCGAAAAGAGATGAACACAACTGACAAACAAGGCCTCCTAGTCCTAGACCACATGTAGAAGTGACAAAAAAAAAAAAGAAAAACTCGAAGCGTCGCGGCTCTCATCGCCTCTTCCGAAGAATAAAAGTGCTAAAAAAGAAAATTGCTCGCGTTTCGTTTTCTGCTCCCTCGCAGTCTCAGGCTTTTCGCACCCATGCTTCCTGCTCCGCAACTCCCACTCTGCTCTCTGCCTCGCTGACCTTGCCCTCCCGTGTTGCCCTCGCCCCTTGCCTCTGGGCTTGTAAACCTGCACATCCGCGCTTCAATAAAAAAAAGAAAAGAAAGTTTCCATTCAGTTTTTTTTCTCTCTTTGCACCGTCGTGCATCTTATGAGAAGCAAGACGTTCATTCGCTTTGTCGTCTGCTTGCGTATCGCTCCGGTGGTCGCAACACATTTCAGAACATGTGCTCGTATTACTGAGGCATTGTTAATCTAATGCGGTACTAAATTAACGCTCATTATTCTGAAAAGCTCAGTATTCTGAAGTACGTGGTGGCGAAATAATTCGACATTGAAACTATTAGCAGTTGGCGTGGTATTTTTAAAAGTTCATTAATCTGAAAAGTTCGTTGATGTAGGTTCGTTCTATTGATATTTCACTGTACTAGGTGTTTTCATAACTTACACAATTCCTGCGAATCCCACGCAACTACGCATCTGTACTGTGCATGAGAAGCTGATGGGGCCTGTGTATGATGCACCAAAAGAGACAGGGAGCATGCGCGAAAAAAATTCGGGCCCACATCTTCCCACAGGGGGAACTCAAGTGAATGCATCACAGAGTGGGGGGGGGGGGTATCGCATGAATGTTACGTCGACTCCAGTCAAGCAAAGTGTAAAGTCAAGCAAAGCATAAAATAAAGCAAAAGCCAAGTAAGGACGGTCTTGACTGAATTCCGAACACGTGCTCTTGACTGAATTCCGAACGCGCGCTTATGTACACACCGCCTGCGTTTGAAAGAGACGAGACGAGGCACAAGACGAGCCGAGCATGTGCAGTGGGGATGTGGACAGTGCTGACGCCGAAGCGCGAAATTGTGCGACTACGAACTGCTCTGCATTTAAATTGTACTAGCGAAGTGTGGGTGTAAAAAGAAAAGAAGAACAGGAATTCCTGATGTGGGTGCTCGTGACATTTGGCTGATTTTATCAAGGCCGCCCCACATCGCTTGTCACCTGACGCTGCTTGTCACCTCACACCACTTGTCGCGTCACACCACTTGTCTTTCACGCCAGTTGTCGCACCACGCTCCTTGTCACCTTGCATAGCTTGCGGCCTTGGGGCGTTCTTCACTTCGCACTGTATAAAACTTTGCACTGCCACCTCTTATCGCTCAAGTCACTCAGTCCTCCACTGGGTCAGTCTTTGTTGGTCCAGTCCCTGCACTAAACTAAGCTTTGTTCCTAGAGAACTTTGCAAGCTTACTATTGCTCTTTTTGTCCTCGTATGCTTTCACTCTAGTATGTCTGTCTTTTGTGTGCACTAAGAGACTTTCAAAACCAGAAAAACAGCGTCATCACTTTGGTGGTACTGGCTACATTTCCAGCCTGGGGCACTTTTGAACTACTCTTTATGATGCCATTCAGCGTTTTATCATGTGCAGTCAGTGAACCTTAGTTAAAAAATGAAGTATTTCATGCTCATCCTCTCCAGCTTAAGATGGGACACAAATTCCTAGTAAATTATTTTTCACCACCTAATTGTAAGAAACATAGTGATAATTTAAACTACAAATCATTATGAAATTACATGTCTTCGATAGCAGAGAGAAAAGCAAGTGCACTAAGCTCCTGTGGAATGAAACATGAAGAGACCACGAAAATGCGTTCTGTTTAATTGGAGTATCATTTACTGAGAGATAAACAGGCATGCAAAATTCAAGTATAAAACCAATCATATTAGAGACAGTTGTTGCAATTAAGCAGCAATTTTATTTAAGAGAGTTTAGTTTACTGCGAGTCTATTGATACTTGTAGCTGCAAAAGAACTGTGTTGTACAATATTTTTGTATTATTTCATATCTTGCATACTTTCAACAATTTTTTAAGGGTTTCCTTCACCTTGCATAAACCTTTGTTTAGCCACTATCAATCCAATCAATTATGTATTAGATATGTGTAATGCATAATTGTAATTACACCCTGTGCCTGATACATCTTTGTTGCACTTGCACTAGAATAGCTGGGCTGAGTAACATTTTATCACATAATTTGTTGGAACTAATTGAATAATGTGCTGAGCAGTTTGCAAAGGTTTGCTTGGCTTTTGACAACCATTCTTCAGCTTGTGCGTAACTTGCAGCAAGATGAATAGATTTCCCAAATGCTGCTTTTATCTGCAACTTGGAATGTGTCATACATGTCTAAATATAGAATTTGTCGCACAGTGTTGGCCTAATGGAGCGTGTCTGTTGCATCGTGCAGTGCAGCTGCTCTCCGAAGAGTATTCGGGAATGTCGCCAGGCACGCTGGAGTCTCAGGGCCTCATCAACCAGTCCGAGTACCAGAAGTACCTCACCTTGTCTTCTTCACCTGAGACTCACAAGAAACTGTCAGGTACGTTCTAAGGAGTCGTTTGGAAGAAGCTTTAACCGTAGAATTCACAGTTTTATCAACAATAAAACGCTGAAAGGCTCCTGTTTTGCAACCTTCATGACTGCACGCCATTTTAAAAAAATTGCCCTGTGAACGTGCAAAGCTTCTTATGCAAAACCAGTCAGTTGTCACGACTGCAGTGGGAAGCCACAATGAGTATTTTATTGTTTTTGAGCTCAACAAACTCAACTTCAGACTTGAGCCACAGCATTTGCGGCGCTTTTGTGCATGAAACGCTCGTAATGTTCCATAATGTTCACACCCCCCTATAAAAACTGCTACTGCCCTCCCCTCCTCATTCGCTCAACATTCTGCAAGCTGTCAGGATGCCGGTCACTGCTCTCACTTGCCTTCATGTCAACTCTTAGTGTCCTTGCTGCCTGCTTCGATGTAGCTGCTCCTCCGAAGCTGCCCTTGTGAGCACAACTGTCAATCATGGGGTGCCCTTTAGCAGTTCATGCGTCTTGCACGACCCCGACAACCTTTCCTCAGCAACATGGGAAGCCAAAGCCAAGTCCACCATTGCAACTGTCGCCGTCATTTTCGCACATGAGATAGCTAAATGCCTTGATGACTTTTCGAAGCTTCTGCACCGCTCACTGCGTACAGTTACCATACTTACTCGAACGTTATGCAAGTTTTTCCGATTTTCCTACATAAAGTCGCATACCGAATATTGAAATACGATTTTTCTTTCTAGCCACAGTGGATAGTCACCCTTCGCAATACAATCATGGTTGCAGTACAATCGAGCAAATATAGTACTTCGCCACCGATGGCATGTGCGTTGGGATCTGTGCTGCAGGCTATGTAATTGTGTTAGAGTGCTTTGATAAGCATGCTTTGCATGCATTTGGCGGTCCACTGTGATAAAAGATTCCATCAAGCTGCAGAAAAACTTAATATAGCCATGGCTAACTGCCTTTTTTATACCTGAATAAAGTATTGCCTCATTAAGTATGTATTGTGTTTTGGCCTCCTCGCAGCTGTGGCACAATTAAAGCTCAAGGGGGACGCGGCGATGGGAATGATGAATTTGGTCAAAATTTTCGACATTTGGTTTGTTTTTTTCCGCGATCCTCAGACTTTTCTTTACCTAGTAGTGAAATATGATCATGATACACGCTGTAGTAATCGAGAAAACAGCACTTAATCAGCATGTAGTCATCCAAAATCGCGAGAAAATCGGGTGTCCGATGGTGCCGCCGAGCCACGAATTACGTGTCTTCCGCTCGGCGGAGCCCCGCCATCTTGGTATCATCGCAGAGAGGAGCGATGGGACCTGAAGATAGTTGCACTGTCGTATTTCTCCTACCAACAATAAAACCAGGAGAAGCAAGCTAAAAAAGGCAAAAGTGGCATCGTGATTGGTTGCAATAGTCACGTGGGGGCACATGGTGCGCTCCTATTGGTTGTTCATGATTTGAATGGCTCGTCCCTGTGCAGTGCCGACGAATCCGCGTGTGGTGTTGATGTATTCACGTACCGGTTTAACGGGTCCACGTGCGTGCAGCGGTGCCCACATGCCCACGTGCAGCGGTGACCGCGCTTCTGCCAACAACGGCATGGTATTTGCAACCACAGATGTTTGCGCTTCGAGTGTCCAACAGAGGATTTTGGTTCTAACTTCCGCTGATGAAGAAATTGTGTGGCAGGAAGAGACGCGAGCGGTCACTTTGAATGCGTTATCAGCGACCCCGGCAACAAAGAGGAAATTTAAGCTACTGAAGGGTGGCGAAAGTGACAATGATGTTATTCCTGAGGCATCATTTTTTGTTGTAAACAAGGTGATGATGAATAAGCTGCTGTCGGAATTTTCCTGCCGCTAGTGCGGGAAATCCTTAGTTCATTTTGAAACTGGACTTATAGTCTTGGGCTCTCAACAAAAATGGAAGTTATATGACCACTGTGGTACAATAAGTAAAGAATGGTTGTCCCCAAGGTGTGCTGGTCTTCAGCATGGCAGCCCCCTTGAAATCAATGTTCGTGCCATGAGAGCTGTGCAGTCTGTGGGCACAATTCAAACTGCACTGAATATTTTTTCCCGCATGGACATTTCACATAGCAATTTACACCACCAGTCATACAGGAGGCTGCACTGCAAGCGTAGTCGCCCTGCCACTGCATCTGCAGCCAGAGCAATAGAGGCAGCAAGTGCCGAGAAAGTGCGCCAGACATATGAAGACCTTGAATGTGCCCCTGGGAACATTGATGTCATTTATGATGGCACATAGATGACGAGGGGCCACACAAGCCACATCGGTGTTGGCTGTGTCATTGAGTTGTACTCTGGCCTTGTCCTGGACCACTGTGTTCTCTCCAACTACTGCCATGGCTGTACTCTTGGACCAAAGCCTCAAGACAATGGGTACTTGGAGTGGTATGGAAAACACATACTGCTGTGCCAAAAAAACACAGAGGCGAATGCAGGGCAAAGGGAAACAATTGCAGCAAAGACCGTGTTTCAGCAGTCACTTCCAAAACATCAGCTCTGCTATACAAGCATACTTTGCGATAATGAAAGTAGCAGGTTTACCACCCTCAGTAAAGATAAGGTGTATGCCTTTATACCCATTTACAAGCAAGAATGTGTAAATCACGTTAAGAATAGAATGGGCACAGCTTTGCACAACCTCATCGAAAAAAACAAGAGCAGGACCGAGAGCTCAGCATGAGTGGAAGAGGCCGCCCCACACAAGGCCTAATCAAGAACTCACGGACTGTTATGAATGGGCTATCAAAAGTAACTCAAATGATGTGCCTGCCATGGAAAAGCCTATCATGGCTAGTTTTCATCACATCACATCGACTGATGATGAGCCTCACCATGAGCATTGTCCAACTAAAGTTAGCTCATGGTGCAACTTTAATGCTGCGGCAGCCTCGGGGGAACCAGCACCTGCGCACAAGCTGCAGCTTCCTGTTCATGTTCGGGCAGCACTCCTGCCTATACACCAGAACACAGCGAGCTCAGTGCTTGCTGCCTTATTGAAAAGCGTGTGGCACCATCTGTTGCAAGCGCGACGAAGCAACACCCTCAGCTGCCACGCGAGCAGACGCTCTGCAACTCAAACGCGAAACTTCACAATCCGAGTTCGGCTGTAAGCATTTTTCGCGCTGTTCTTTTGCTGGAATTTTGTGCTGATTTCGTGTGAAACGTTGAGGAGACCTTCCTCGACAGTCCGCAATGTCTGCAGCATGTGCATTGCAGACTGCGAAAGCGTCTTCATCAGGTACGTATTATTCGGGCGAAAAAAACGGGAACACTGGCAAGCATTAACTGCGACGTGCCTTGGCTGTGACAAAGCAGAATTTGTGCTGTAAGCCGACAACAGGGTAGCGCTAGAATCTGGCTCCAACTTACGCTCATGCACCGCATGTGTATCAATTGCCAGTCCTGCCGGGCACTTGCAACACACATGCGATGCAACAGTGCCAGCCAGAACAAGATTTTAAACTGTTACGGTGACGCCGGCCGAAAGCACATGTAGATTCGCCTAGGGACAGTCAAGGCATGTCGCAGTTCGATCGGGTCGAAAGCCATGATTTCCACACCGTTCAGGTCCCTTTGTATCGCGATAATAGGCAGTTACAGTTGTACTAAACATGCGCGATGCGTGCATACATGCGTGAGTCATAATACGTATACCTTATTATTGACATGCAGCTTGCGAAAGAGTACTACAATAGTTTTGTGTCGCACGCTACTGGCATACTGCACGCAAATTGCCACCGTGAAGTGGAACAGCTGGAGTCACGCTCGAATGAATGTAATAAGTATAGTTACTCGTACACTTTACTAGGCTCATAGTTTTTCATGTCGATTGCGATTATATCCTAAGGCGACGGAGCTCAGCGTTTTTCGTTGTGGACGGAAATCTGTGCAATCGCAAAGCACTGCACCGGCACGATTCCCGTGATGCGCTGTGAACGTCACAGGCAATGCTCAGCAATCTCTTCCTCTTGCACTGGTTGTTGTCGCATCAGATGACAGCACAGTGGTACCCAGATGACATTTTATAAGCGGGTGCAGCGTGAACAGGCACGTTTTCGCATTTTAAACTCCTAGAGCCACTGCTTGCCATGCTGGCGAGGTGCGCCTTGGCAGTTCAAACCGCTGAATGCGCCTGGGTTTGAGATAGGCATGCTCTCGTCTATATACAACTGCCTTTCTTCAAGGAAACGTCTGGAAAGATGCCAGCAAGGCAGAACTCAGAATGCCATCGAGTCGTTCAACAATGTGATTTGGTCGCTCCAGTCCAAAACACAGTTTGCCTCTCTTCGAAATGTTGAGAGTGCTGTGGCAGATGCAGTTTGCCGTTTTAATGCTGGCTGTGGTAAAGCACTTCAAGAAATTACCCCACAACTTGGCTACACTCTAGGATCATGCTCCCTTCGGCAGGCTGCTGAAAGGATGCACGGCGCATGAAGAAGTCAACTGAAGCGCATAAAACTGCTCCAAAGAAGCACAAAACTGACTTGAAATCAAAAGAAAATGTGTCCTCAAAGGCAAAAGACTACATCTCAGGCGCGTTTTAGGTGCTCATAGCTAATAATGAACTGCTTTCATGTAACAAGACTTCGAGCTCTGTTTTCTCAGCTTCCATTTTTCGTGAAGCTGCTGTCGGTCATACCAGTGCTACTTCATAACTAATGAAGCTAAAATTATTCTGTTTCTCAAACTTAGCTCCTGAAACACTGGGGAGTGCTGTAATGCTATTCATTTCTGCCTGTAAGTTGTGAAAAACTTTATATTTTGTTTTTTCAAAAGTTGTCGATAAGAAAACATAAGAAATTCCAGAAATTTTTTCTTTGCTCATTTTGACATAAAAAAATAAACAGCATTACCACATACAGTGGGCCTTGCTGAATATGTGTAAACAATTATGCTACCAAAATTGTGTTTTTAACCAATTATTGGGGTATGATTGTAAAGTTGTATCAAATGTTCTAACTTGGAAACTATGTTGGATGTCTTGAAATTGATCGTATTTATGATATCAGCATAGCAAATGACAGCGTTGTATCAAATTTTATCAATATATTTATAGAAACAAGGAAGATAATTTTCATTGCCAGGTCCCCCCTTAACTGTTTTAGCTTTTATCAGATGATCACTTAAATCGAAATACCACTACCACTTATATTTTTTCAGGCTCCCACTGATCCTGCGTAATGAGGGGTTACTGTATTTCATATATTCAATCTCAAGTAATAAAATATTGATGTTGCAGCAATATCATTGTTGTCTAACTCGTTATTTGCCTTTAGTGTTCGAAAAAGGCGAATCTAAGAACAGTACTAAGCTGCATATAGATACTGCTTTTTTTTAACAGTTGGGAAATATAATATTGGCAGTAGCTCTTGACACTGACTCTCTGTCATCTTGTGGTGCAGGTTTTATCGCTAAAGTGAAAGACACCGCAGAGACTGCAGCATCAAAAATCCAAGCCAAGGCAGAAAGTGTTGGCATAAAGACATCTCAAACAGATGCTTCTGTGGGCGGCAAGGTACTTAGTTTGTTTGTACACTTTCGGGATTCAATATTGTACCATACCTTCTGCTGGAAACATAATATGCGAGGCAGAAGTATGAAAGTTAAACGAGGAAGCCTAGGAGTAAGTGAAAGACCATGCAATTTGGAACGTGGTTACCAGAATTATAATATGCATCTTTTTTTTTATTTTTTCTTGTAATTAATGTTTCAGTATAACAGGAATCTTTAACTCTTGTATCTTTGAGAGAACACCAACAGCTTTGCTGTAGAGGTGCAGAACCATTCCCTTCTCTTGCTTTTCACTGATATGCTATACAAGCTCAAGCGTGAATTCAAGAGAATCAAAGTTTTTTCCATCCATTCATTTCTCTGTGTAATCAGTGTAGCCTTTGCTGTTTATAGTCTGGCTTTAAAAACGTCCTTGTTTGTAAGAACTCACTGCAATGCACACTGTGTAGCGATGCCTGCTTGCTTGATCTGCAACATGCAGAAAGGTCTGTTGCGAGTATGACAAACCTTCCCGAGCACTTGGCATCGTTCAGAAGTGCACAGTTTCCTACTAAAAAAAACAAAGTGAATGTTTCAGCTCGGGCGTCACTTTCATTTGAGCGCGGCGCTCAGTAATTCTTGGTCAAGTCTTCAATGTGTTTAGTTGCAGACTGTCCTGCCAAGTTCATGCATGAAGCCATAAACACACAAGTCTACCGTACTGCAGCCTGCTGACTTAGAAGCATGGTATAATGTTTCTTTCATCCATAACCATCAACCATAACCATCATAGCTCTTCGTGTGTGAGCAGTTTCTTGTGCAGACAGTTGTTCAGAATGCCACTCGTGTCGTTCCGGCTTGCTTACGCAGCCAGGAGATCCGAAGAACGCAGCGGGACTGGCGGCCAAGCAGAAACACCTGAGCTTGGCCGAGACCAACCTGACCATGGAGATTGCCCAGCTGCTGCTGTCCCTCCTGCATGCTTGGGGGCTTGACAATGACCTCGACAAGGCAAGGCTGGCTGTTTGATCTGAAATGGTAGTTAGGAGTTATTACGATGTGTAAGCTTGTTACTAATAGATCGCCTACATGTTATGGCACACACACACGTGCACTAAGTATACATTGAACAAACATCACATGGGACTGCATATATTCTACCCACATAGCTTCTGTCTTTAGGTCTTACTAGGGCTATATCATTGTGTGTGACTGGCTACGAAATTGCAATACTAGCATGCTAATAAAAAAAATGAACCACTTGTTATTGTTTCTAATAAACATGACAGGTTAATTTTATGAAGTAAGTACTTCAGAAACCTATCAAGGGTTGAGAAAGGAGTCTGCTTTCAACAGAAGTGATTTTAACTTGATTTCAAGGCAATATAATCTATAGCCTTGTTACTAGGCTTGTGCAAATACTGTATTTGCTGGCGTAGGGAACGCACTCACATAGCTAACACGCCCCAAACTTCAGCCGTGAAATTTTTGATTTTTTTTCTAATACGTAATAAATGCACCCCCTACGTTCATCCACTGCAGTCCTGCGAATCGACATCTGGCACCTTCTTGCCCAATGGATCTCTTCCATTTCTTATTATTATGCCAACCCCCCTCAGCTTGCTCCCACTGCCGTGAACCGTTTCGTTTTCTTTTCTATCTGTGCATGGCACATCCCCTGTCATTTTGAATTATCTATGCATCACAGCAATGTTCAGGAACAGTGCGAGTATAGAAACATCGGAGCTGACAAGCATACAGAGAGCGGAGGTCGTGAAACTGCCTGTGCCAACGAGTGATTGCTTCCTGCAAGTATTAAATTTTAAGGCCCAACCACATGTACGTGATTTTAGAGCGATGACTACAGGATTCGCTGTCGTCATGGCTGTCGTGAAGGTCCATTCGTTGCCATCGCATTTCAGGCATGTTGCAAGTTTCTGGAAAACCAGAAAAAGCCACTTGTCTCTCAGAAAAAAGCGTGACAATTTCCGCAACATGATAGCACACCCGATTCTTGCTTAGGTTGGGATTTGCTCTTGATGCTTGTTACCGCACGTACTTCAAGGAATGCAAAATGTGGGTTACCTTTTCTACAGACACTTCTGAGGTGTACAACGAGGTGGCGGCCATATTTTTTGTTAATCCTGTTATCGACGAGTTATTTTTATGCTTCGATGGTAGCTTGTAGCCATTTTGGTTACTTACTCCAATTTCAACGTCATCATCATAGTCGTTGTGCAAGGTTGCCACGAGTTTGACACTTCTGGGCACTTCTAGAGAACACAGCAGATGCTACTGTTGCGGTTAGACTTTTGTAAAAAAAACAAAGCCGCGAAATACTTTTATGTAGGCTTGTGCGAATATTCGAATGCTGGGAATATTCAATTGAATAGTACAGTATTTTAATTTGCTTTGATTTGAATTTCAATTATTGAAAATTTCAAAGTATTCGTAAAGAACAAAAAGGTATATATTGATCCGCATGTAACCCTCGTAATGGTGCTTTCACTGCAGTAGAGGGATTCTAAGCCGTGAAAACACTTGTTCAAACGTATATTAATTTGCATAATACATTTTGTAAAGGTGGTTTTGTTGCAATGAAGTAGTGTTACGCAGTAAAAACATTTATTTATAAGAAATTTGCATTGCCGCGAAGCCCCACTTCAAGGTTAAATGAACATATCACCCTTACATCGATTTATGATTTTTGACGTTTAAAAGGTTCTTACCGGCTTAAATGTTTTAAGTTTAGTAAATAATAAAATGTAACATATTTTACAAGCTATCATTTGCATTCTACCAAAAGTCAAATCCTGCTACAATTCAAGGTTGTTGCCACTGTGTTTCAACAAAAAAAAAAGGCATTTGCACAGGGCATGTTTTAGCTTAAAATATTTATATATACTAGACTCCTTTCAAACAAAACCTCAAGGGACCAGGAAAATGTGTTTCTTTTAAGGGGAGTTTCGTTTACTGAGAGATAAACACGGATATAATATTAAAGTACGAAAACAAACATATTAGTGGCAGTTGTTCCATTTAAGCAGCAATTCTATTTAAGAGAGTTTCCTTTAATAGGAGTCTACTCTAAATTGTGTTTGTTAGGTCATGACAATTATGCCCATTTTTGTTTTTAGCATGTGATATATATACTATTTATATTTGATTCATAATTATTCGACCAACATTACTATTCGCTTTGAACCAAAAATATAACTGTTCGCACAAGCCTACTTTTATAGAGAGTGCGGGTGGTACAGGGACAGCTTGCAAAAGATAGCGCCATCAACCACTGAGGATGTGAAGTGCGACAAAGCTGCTGTTTCCTACTGTTTCCAAACAGTGTACGTGTATGTCAATTGCAAAAGGTTAAGCTACGCAACTTTCTTTTGAATTACTGCATATCTTGCTCACTTTGAGTTGTAGCAGGATTTCACCTTCGGTATAATGCTAGCGATAGCTTGCAAAATATGTTGCGTTCTAAAGATTCCTATATTTTGAGCGTATAAGATGGTACAACATGCTTTTAAACCTAAAGGAAGCCCATAATCTGATATTAGTTTAGTTGAGTAGAACCCCAGAATTTAAATGATAAGCTTGCCAATGCCTGCCAATGATATGGTGTGTGCAGGCATGTGAGGGAACCTTGGGCCTGCTGTGCCCCATGCGACCCATCTGCTTTGGCCTGCTGTCCAGGGGCAGCCACATGAGCCTGCTGCTTCCGACCCACACGTACCGCATACTGCCCCCATCTCAGGAGGCCGCACCAATCAGGTGCTGATACTCTCGGTTCCGTTCGGACTATTGTACATACGCTGTTGTTCCGCCTCTTGTTGTAGGCAGAGCACGTGATGGCATAACAGCCAGGGCTGAGACAGCTGTGCATATTGCGCATTTTTGATACATTTCTGTTTTCTTGCAGCAAACTGCTCCAAAACCTCTAAAATCGCAAAAATTGCGCTTACCTGCTCCAAAACAGCCTCGAAAGCTATAATTTTGTTGCCAACATCAGCTTCGGTGGGGAAAAAGGCCGAGTGGACTAATAAGACATGCCCAATCGTGTGTTTTTTTTCTTTACTTTGCACCTTTCTGGTGACGAAGGCTCCCATGGTGTCACCATAATCTCCTCCAAACTGTTGTAAATATGCGTGACCTCGCAGAAATGTGCTGTCGTGCATCGAGCGTGCTGCTTCTGGTGCTGCTTCTGCTGCTGCTTCAGGCTGTGTGTTGCTGTGCCACTGTCACCTAAATTGAACCACTGAGGAGAGTGGCGAGCGCAGCAGAGTTGACTCAGGTTTTTTGTTGTGCGTAGTGCGTTCCTCTGGTCACTGGGGTTTTCATATCGACGCGTTTGGGTGCGGTACACTACGCGTGCATGTTTGCCGCGAGAGAGTAAACTGTGAATGCGGAGTCATTTCTCTGCATGCGACGTTTCTTCTGGATGCTCTGGCGTGTGCATATGGGTTCTCGAAATGGGCTCTGTGAGCAACAGAATGCATGCAACTCATTCCCAATTTATGCCCATTAGGTACTAATTTATACAAGCGAGTTCTCATTGCATTTAAAAAAGAAATTTAATTGCGGTGTCTGCAGGTAGAGAGAAACACGTGGTTATTTGCGAAGCCGAAGTGACAGAACGCTCATCCAAACTATTTTAAACAATATTAAAGGGAAGCTCGGCACTTTATTTGCGACTCATGACGCGTTGGCAATCACATGGCACAATTTTCTTGAATGGTGATTTGCCACTGCTCCGTTTTGTAATCGGAACTCACAACGAGCGCTTCAAAAGGCGTGGCTGCATTCAGGCTAAAAGGCGTGGCTGCATTCCGGCTCTGGGCTACACGCTTTTAGGCTTATTTTTATGTTCCATCGGTTTTTCGGTCGGCGGCCATTCCACAATGTGACTTCGGTTTTTTTCTTTTTTTTGCAATAAAATCTGCCTCTGTACATTTGGCGCTTCGATTGCATGGACACAAATTTCTTACCTGCGTGATGCTAGCGCGTTATGCGAGTCGTGGCGCGGGCAGCGATCGCAAGTCAATGTATTATCGGGAGTTCTACATCGACGGTAATGAACTGTGATATAAAAAAATATAGAACTGGCCAACATGTGCGGTATTAATAACGCGTGGCTGCTTTTGTGGAGAGGCGTTATCACTACCATACGCTTATCATTTAGTACCATACACACGCGCTTTACAAGATAGTCGGTTTTGTGAGGTTTCTTGGCTCCCGCTCTGCACTCTCGAAGGGGTTCACGCACGAGGAGGCCGCGAAGGGCGATGCAGCGCTTTTTTGTCGTCTGTTAAAGTTTTTGATGCTATCATGTCAGACTTTTCTTTAAGCAAAGGACCACTTTTACGTAACTGAGATTCTTGTGCAATCACAATTCTTAATTTATTTTTTAGTGTTATGTGTTTTTCTTTTTAAATGTTTCTGGCAAACCTCGTTTTCAAAAAAAATCTTTTTTTGAAATAATGTTATTTCACATGTTTGTTACAATGGCTAGATAGGTCACGTGGTGTATAAAATAAGGTAGTGCAGTTCATACCTGTCGACAATCTGTTTGAAAACTTTCTTCAAAATTTGTTTCAGTGTTATGTGTATCATAAGCAAATTAAAATATGCATTGGTGCTCCCACGCTGCTAAACACTTGTATTTTCAAGCTGCCAAGACGACATATTAAATGCCGCTAACTGCTCCGAAGCGATGTTCTTGTGCTCCAAAATTGGAGTTTTGCTGCTCCAAAAACTGCTCCCAATTTAGTCTCAGCCGTCTCACCCCTAACAGCACACATAAAATGAAAGCACTGGTATGTACATTCTGCTGCTCTTCAATTATACAGTAAAAGCTCATTAGACACTGCACCTGAAAACTTTTTAAGAGTTCTTTATCGATTCTATTAAAGTATGCTGAGTTCTTATGTATATTTGTGTGCCGATTTTATATACGCAATTGTTTTCTTCATACAATATGTAGTTTTTAAACTCCACGTGCCATTTTGGAAGTCTTACTTTGCCTTAACTGGGAGAGTTGCAAAGTAAATAAGTATATTAGAATGGCCTGGAAATAGTATAGAGTGCAAGAAAACGAGAACAACAAATGTCCTTGGCCCATTCGAACAAAAGTTGTGGTATGTTGAATGATTGTGACTGAAATACGATCTTGGTGTAGATTCATTGTCGAATGTTCAATATACCGTAACTTCTGTTCAAATGGGCTCAGAACATCTATTGTTGCGTTCTGTACTCATTCGAGGTAATTCTGATGTGCCTAATTACTTTGTAACTCCTTTTGCTTAGGCAAACTATGGCTTCCAAGAAGCACATGATATGTTTGGTAAATAAAAAACTACATATACTACAAAAATAATTGCATATTTGAAATCTTCATGCAAATATACTCAAGGAGTTACATCTCGATCGAAAAAAAAAATAAAAAAAAAGTTTCAGGACCCATGTCCCCCCTTTCAGATTTCACGAAACTGGAAAAACTGTCCGTACTAACCCATATATGCCCTGTGTATACATGTAGGATGCTGAAACTTTTCTGTGTAGCTCTAATGTTTTTTTTATATAAAAAAAGTAGCACCACTTAAGTTGTGTTTATGATGCCCTGTCTTTTATCACATGCAAGTCAAGGTGATCGCTGGGCTACAAATAGCCACGTGCTTGCAGTCATAAAATGGCTATTTCTTATGCGTGTAGCTGAGCGAGATACGGCGAAAAACAAATATAAGCATTATAGAGTATAATTCTTCTTGATGCTGCTGTTTTTTTCAATTGTTCGTCAGTTAATGGGGTGTGCAGTAACTTTTGCATGGCAGCTGTAGGGGCTAATGTTTTTTTGTTTTCGGTGTGTCAAACATTGGTGTCCTAGATATAGGACAGCTGGGAAACGACTGTTCGAAAGATTTTCTTTAATGAAAGCCTTATTCTGTTTTCTGAAGTCGTAGAAGCAACCATTTCGGGGAAATAAATTGGTTTTGTTGATTTTCCCAAGTTTGGGCATATATGGGGTAGCAAAATGCAGAAATATCCAAAGTAATATCCAAAGAAATATCCAAAGAAATATCCAAAGCGCGATACGGCGAAGAACAAATATAAGTATTATAGAGTATAATTCTTCTCGATGCTGCTGTTTTTTTTTCAATTGTTCGTCAGCTAATGGGTGTGCAGTAACTTTTGCATGGCAGCTGTAGGGGCTAATGTTTTTTTGTTTTCGGTGTGTCAAACATTGGTGTCCTAGATATAGGACAGCTGGGAAACGACTGTTTGAAAGATTTTTTTTTAATGAAAGCCTTATTCTGTTTTCTGAAGTCGTAGAAGCAACTATTTCGGGGAAATAAATTGGTTTTGTTGATTTTCCGAAGTTTGGGCATATATGGGGTAGCAAAATGCAGAGATATCCAAAGTATCAAGAAAACGATTTAAAAATGTCTATTTCATCAATGCAAGTCTAATTTTCTTTAGGTATACGTAAATGCAGTACGGTAATCATTTTTCATACGAGCAGTGTGACAGTATTTTTTTTATTTGTTACTTTGTTAACAATGTGAGTGTTCAAGACACCATGTCTTAAAGGGCCACTCACCAGGCCCCATAACAAATTTTAGTTACACCGTGAAACTGGTTATGCGTCTGATGAGGAGCATTATACCACAAAAATTTTTTCATTCTGTTCATTACGAGCTGAGAAAACTTTTTTTGAAGCGGCGCGAAGTGAGCATGAGAGGAGGCAAGCTCGAAACCCGTGCGCTTCCCCGCGTAGCCTTCACAAGTCAAATCTCTTCTCTACTCTCTCCGACATCTGACCAAGAGATCACGTGCGCATGACAAGCCCAACCCCCGAGCACGCGAGCGGCGTTGTTTCGTTGATCAGTGTTATTTTCTGGCCTACCGCCTGCTTCTACGGGATGGTTTGGAAACGCTGGCTTAAACGCAGTAGACTATATGAGCATAATGAGTGCTCGAAGGCGCAGGAGCATTAATTTCTTTTCCGGGAAAGGCCTCTGCTTGATGCGCTCACCGCGAGGACACGAACGCATATGCAATGCAGGCACATTAGCCCTGCATCTTGTTGCAATTCATAAGAAAAAGATAGGATAAATATGCACACATTTCCTCATTGTGCCTCATTATTTATGTCCAGTTTTATTGATCTCTTCAAGCAACAAATCTCTTCAAACAACAAATGTCACGTGCCGCTGTTGGCAACATAAGAGCACAGTCGTCTACATAGAGGATCAGCGTCACTGCACCACCATGTATGTAGAGCAATTTACACATGCACACCATGCCCTCATTCTCTAGGCGCGGGCCTTTGAACAGAAAAGGGAGCAGTGTTCATCTTGAAATTTCATCCATTTCCATGACGTGTATAGTTGCAAAATTTGGCAGATGTGGTCGTGAACGCCCCGTGTACGCATTGCGCTTGTCAGCTCAAAATTGTCAAACCTGGTGAGTAGCCCTTTAAGCCAAAGTGTTCTCTGAAGCCATACCATATTACATGCCGACAACGTGATTGTGGATGGGGATCATGCCTTTCTGAAAGCCCACTGCCATTTCAACTGTCCGCGAACGCCTTTTTTGCTACTTTGTAGTACCCATTTGCTGCACTTCATGCTTGGTGCGCTCTGAGGATTATCTGAAATAACTGTATTAGGTCTAAATACGACCGAATCAACGAGAATTCGATGCTGTTAAACAATGTATATGCCGGCCGATACCAGAGTACACGTCCTCATTATCTGACTTTCTGAATGCAGTACCCTACCCTCAGAGTGCGGTCGCTAGTTGAGGTAATAATTAAGTAAATATGAAGAGGCCTGGTAGCCGAAAAACGATGTGAAAATCAAATACAAATGATAACTCTGAAGTCCTCGCTGCATTGTTGATCTTGATGTTGTTTGTTATCGTATATGTGATTGCTTATTGACCATGAACTGTACATTTCTTTCTACAAGAGCCAACGACAGGAATCAAAAAGTTCATAAGTGCATAGGTAAATTCTTGCTTTCTGAGGCTCATAAAAAGTGCAGAATTTTCAGGTGGGCCACAAGTCTAAATATATGTTTTAAAGGGGTCGGCCCTATGCAAGGCTGACGCAGAAGCCTAGCTTATGTTTCAGCCGCACACAGTCGTACCGTGCACAATTAATGTCCCCTTTCTGTAGCTTGATTCATCGCAGCTACACGGGTTCAGGCAAATAAGGCAACAGGCTAAGTCAACAAAACAACACTTTATTGCTTCATTAGCAACAACATGTAAATGTGGCAGAGAGGGACTGTCCGCTCTAGGAAAATAACACAAGGCTTAGGCTCCCAGAAAGCGAAAGGCTTAAGCCTTTCGCTGACGATCGCCTTGGCTCCTAGAAAAATCCCAGAGAAGTCCTCCTTCCTTGGTGGCTGGTGCAAGAGAGAGCCCGTCTCTGTCGGCACGCTCGTTTTCTCCAACCTCCCGGTTTTCCTCTCCACAATGAGGGTGGGTTCTCTTGCTGAGGGAGCATAACCCGTTTCACGAGCCGGGAAAGAGGGATAGCGTGCGCCGGCCGCAATGTGACCGGTCCCTTTGAAAGAGGCTCCATTGTCTCGTTTCTTGAAGGGACAGACATGTCCTCACAACTAGGCTGCTGCGCTGCCGTAAAAGGGGAAAGAACCACGAGCGCAAATGCTTCCCCAGAGTTCTTGACTTCAAGCAACTGATATTGAAGTAAATTGATGAATGTTTGAAGTGAATCAATATTGAAATGCATGGGCAATGCGTGTCTGTTCTTTATTTTTATCATTTCTTCTGCAGGTTATGAGGGTGCTTGCTTGGGCCAGTTAGCATTTATTTATTGCTGCGTTATTGCTCACTGCTTAGAAGTCAGACAACCACACGAACTGAAGTGCGAACTTTCAACTGAATTTATTGGACGGACACATGATGCTCTTATACAATTTCGTTCTACACATTTACGTAAAAACAAAACCCAATACATTTACAGTTTACAATTGGGGATGCTTTTTATAATGAATGTAGAAGAGTGGGACATGTGTGAGCAAATAAGCCCTCTCACTTGAATCCTCTGCGGTGGATGCTGCTGCAGCAAGGAGCGCAAGGTGGTGACCATACCCGTGCCCAAAGAGCAGATTGAAGAAGAGGAGCGGGCGCGACGCTTCTCATCCAAAGGCCACTGGGAGCTGTCGACGGCCGTCACGACCAACCACCTGCTGACGGTGATCGCCCTGGCCAACACCCTGATGTCCATGAACAGCGCCACCTTCGTGCCCGAGCAGGAGAAACGCCGCAAGCTGCACAGGTGAGCTCATCACTTTGACAGTTGGCGGACTAGCATCACAAGGATAAGATTTGCCGTAAACAAAGAAACATGCTTTGTAATTCACAACAGTCACTAAATCTGGAACATGTGGACTGTATCTTGCCAGTTCTAACATACAGAATATAAGCATGGAGCATGCACTCGCAGCAGCCACTGGTACAACTGTTGATAGACTCCAGCTGAAAAGGTAAGAGAGCAGAGTGGATCAGAGAACTAACAAGGGTAGACAATAACATAGTAGGTATTTAGAAGAAAACATGAATCTGTTGAGGTCTTATCGTGACAAAGGCAGATAACGGATGGTCACTCCTAGTGTTTTAATGGGCGATTTGAAGTGCAGCAAGAAATGGCTGCACTTAATTACGAAATTACAATTAAAAAATCACAATTAAGAAATTAAAAAATTCAAAACCATAGATTGAACTGAGCTTGCACAGACAGGATAAGTTACGAATCATTAGGAAAGATGTTTGTCCTGTATTGGACACAAGACTGGTGAATGATGATCATAAGATAGTGAAACCAGAGTATTATAATGGTGAACTACAGTAGAATCTCGATGATACGAACTTGAAGGGAGCGTGTAATTTTATTCGTATCAGGCCGAATTCATATGAACCAAAAACAACATAAAGCTGATGAAAATGATGAACAAGAACTTCATTCGCAGCTACACCTTGCTGAAAAAAAGTCTGTGATGTTCCTTTGAACTTTCCTGCCTTCACCGTCTCTTGATTAAGTGATGCGGTGTCCTCGCTCATGCTCCTGGCACAGCACGTTCACAGTTGACATCAAAGCAAATGAAAGCAGCCAAGCTCATAGGAAATTCACTCGCTTCCCCACTTAAGTATCCAGAAAACTGCACCACGAAGTCGACACGAAAAAAAAAATGAGTCCTGGAGAATTCGCATTGGAGAATTCAAGCAAAAATGCCAATGCGACCAGAAAATCACGTCCGTGCCCGCCGTAAACGTTCACATTCGTTCTGCCCTTCGTATACATGCCATCCCTTTCTGTAGTTCTTTTTTCGTAAAAACAATACAGGAATGGAACCGTCTATCGGATGATCTCGTCAATGTAAATGCTAATGAATCCTTTTTTTCTTTATTGTAACAACTCCTACAATATCACTGCCACTAAGAATGGTTGGCTGTCTCGAAGCGTGTGGGTGTTTACAAATGCATGACTGTGACGTTGTTTTGCTCACCAATATTCGAGTGTTTTTTTTTTCTTCTCTTAAAATATTTTGAGTGCTGTTTTATTTGTTGAATCTATTGTTTCGGTTGAAAACTATGTAGTCAAATTATTATGTGTACCTCCCCTACGTAATGCCTCACGGCGATGTAGGTGAAATGTAAATAAATAAATAAAATCTCCGCCGCCGCCATCGCTGCTTGACAATTCATTCCATTTTGCCCGTTTCCTCAGCACTGAAGTTCGTACTGAATTATAATTATGCATACAAGGCACTGAAAAGAAACAGTTTACACCTTTATCAACATTACTTCAGAAGACACGCCAGCCAAAATGGCACGAGCGGACACAGCGGCGGCGACGGATTCAACTGGCAGTGCAAAAGCAAGACATGTTCGAGCAAACCCACTCGCTGCTGCTGCTGCTGCACCTTCTTCTACTTCCTGCATTTATCAGCGATCGTAATTCAAACCAGGCTCTCGACGACCGCGTCCTTGTCAAGGCCGTGAGCTTTGACGTATTGCGCGGGTAGTTCACGATAGCGCCGATGCGACCCACCGCCGATGCCTTCGCCCCCATGTTGATTTGCGGCTGGTTGTTGACATCACGTGGTTTGAGAGACAGAGCAGCTGGTGAAGCCAAAGCCGTGAAGCAAAAAGCCAATACTATGCTATGGCGTGGCGGGAAAATTGGTCTCGGGCCGATTATTTCACGTCGGCCTCACAGCATGTTTTTGCCGCGTTGCTCTGCTGGTATGCAGGGGTCAATCACACATTCGTATCATCTGCGGTGGCTGGGGAAACCATTTGTATAATACCAAGTTATGGTGTATTTTATATAATGTAGTCCATCCAGAACAACCTTAAAATTCGTATCATTGCAAAATTCGCATCAATCGTAATCGTATAGTCGAGATTATACTGTGTTGAAATTCTTATGGCTGCATGTCCATGAAACAACAATATGTAATTTTTAAACAATTCTCCCTGTAAAGATGCGCATCTGCCCATAATTTTGATGTAACAATATTTTACTGCTAAAACAAAAAGAGGATAGGGGCTGTACGTTAAGCGACTAGCATGAGTAGTCACAGAGACTGTTGTCTTATAAACACGAACATTATGATCATGCAGCAAGCGATTGTCAGCGACAAAGCTAGTATCCTGTGAGTGATCATGTCACTTATTTTGGCACACCACAGAGCTCACTTTTTTGGGAACTTGAAGCTTAAATTATGCAAAAAAGAATTTCTGTATATTAAAATTTTGATGTAACAAAGGAAATTGCCAGTCATATCGACTTCAGTAGTTCACTGTATTAGTCATAGTCATGCATATATGCCCATACATTTTGCTCTCCTTCTATTAGCCTTCTCAAGCAACCTCCCCCTCCCCCTTTTTTTTTATGCAGTGCAGAAAAGCATGACTTTTGTGATTACTAAGTGATTAGTACATACTTGGCAATATGATAACATATCTTTTATTACATGCTTGGCATTATACTTGCTTTTCAAACGTTTAATCATAGTACAGGTGTTATGCATATAGTTGAACTTCGATTATACTTCCCTTGGTTTCACGACGACCCACATTTTACAATGAATCGGTTTGGTCCTGGAAAAATTCTTATATAAATAATGTATTAAAAACCTTAGTTGTGCAATGCAGTTTTGCGCCGACTCCACATGTTATGACAACTTTCAGGTTCTGTCCGAAAGAAAAAAAGCACCTTTACTCGAATGAAAATTTGACGAAATATTCACTAGTGCAAAATATAAGGTTGCGTTTCCTTAGGTTGACGATTGCAAAAGTAGAGAGTGAGATAGGATGTCTTCTTAGAATGGAAAATTTATTCTCCTGGAAGTTCCACATACGCCTAGATTGCATGTGAACGTATCCGGGGTCGTTACCTAGTCAAGCTCTATCCACACAGAGTAGCTTCAGCTGACTGAAAAGCTGATGTTTTCATGTCTTCGGTCCGTGAAAACTTTTCCTGGTCGACATACAGCTGATCTCCCGCCTTTGTTCCACTTGCTGTCACAGGCTTGTGCCCGCATAAGGGCAAGACGCAGCTGTTTTCACCTTGCAAAATTACTTTCGCTTGACATGAACGTTCGTAATAAGAGCGGGACACCACTAGTCCTCAACAAGCAACAAATTGCTTCGCACGCTGCTGAGTCGTGCATGAAGGCATTCTACGCAAACTCGTGCTCTTTCGTCATTATGTGATGGCTATGACATTGTGTCCGACTCTTTTGACAGTAGGCTGTTGGCAACGCGGTTTCATTTTCACGTGCAGGCAATTTCCGGAGCACATCAGAATCAATTTTTCCAAGGTTGACAATAAAGATTTGTTCACTGATCCTTCAACTAAGTAATGCTGCCATTAGCTGCTACTGGCAAGAATAATTTAATGCACCTTCCTTTCAGAGGCACAAGGTTGTGCCTAGGGCTTATTCAAGCAGTCAGTACCCATTTTTTGGGCAAGGCATAGTGTTACTGCATATAATCTTAGTAGTTCAATTACAGTACGACAGTTTTGCGTGGTCCCCTAAAAGTTGTATTATTGGAATTCCACTGTACTTAACCATGAAAGATGGCCACACTGCAGTACAGTGCTGTTATCTTCTGAAAAGACGCTATTGCGGCATAGCTTGGCTTCTAATATCTTAGAGTTACCATTACTAACAACCTTAGTTGGAGCACCCACATTTCTAACATCGCCTCTTCAGCTTTTAGAAAATTATGCCTTCTTCGCCACAAGCTTAAAAATGCACCCCATGATGTGAAAACTTTAGCATATGCGACTCTCATCAGACACAAATTAGAATACGCCTGCATCATTTGGGACCCCTTTATCAAAACCAGCATTGATGCTCTCAAAGAATACAGAGAAAAGCCATGCGATTCATTTTTTTTAAATGCAGCCGCAATGACTCCGTTACTGAACTTTTACACTCTAAGGGATTTAAACCTCTACAAATGAGGCATAAGATTTCTCGACTGAAGTTTCTCCATTCTTTCTTCAATGGTGAATTTCTTGCAGATGCCACACGCTACATAAACCTTTCTGAGACTAGGAAAACTCGTCATTCCCACTCCCTCACACTCTCCCCTTATCTTGCCAGAACAGTACTCTCTAAGCACTCTTTCTTTCCCCGAACTATTGAAGAGTGAAACCTACGTAATACCTTTTCATCATGTGGACTCGCCTGAATCAATACAGGACTACATCCTCACTGTTTCCTAACCCTTTTAGATTTATAGATTCTTGATAGCTGTTTTCGCTGGAGACTTTCAATTGTGCATTGTACACTTATTTTATACCTTTCCACTCCTGCTTGGGCCGCATGGCCTGCAGTATGTTGTAAATAAATAAACTAAAAATAAATAAACTACCTTCTCAAGCGTATTACATGTGGCAAAATACATCTATACTCGTTAGTTTCAAATACTTTGACATTTTGAAAATTTTAAAAGGACACTAAAGACAGATAATAAGCCAACGTTGATTGTTGAAATAGCGGTCTAGAAACCTTGTAGTGCTACTTTTGTGCCAAGGAAGTGCTTATTTTGAAATAAAGTCATGCTTTAGTAACCCGCGTCATATTAGCGCACTTCAAATCAGCCGCTCCTCAAAGCGGTCTTTCAGACATCACTGTTATTGTGCCCAATGTTCTCTTTACTATGCAGCCGCCTACACCAGTAGCAGCAGAGCAAAAGTAGCAAGAGCCACAGTAGCAACAACGACTATTGAACAATTTTTGGCAATCTCAAAGGCCATCATTCTGCCTGCTTGGTTCAACTGAGCCCCGCTAGATGGCACCATCTAACGAGCCAAAAACTGAACTTTGGAACCGCTCACGTAATTCACCATAGTTACACCAGGCAGTTCTTTTTTTTATAAATCAAATAGAAATGGATAAGCAGCATTTCATTATGTCTCTTGATGGGCAGAAAGCTTTTATTTTATTACAGCTGGTTCGATTACTAGTGGTTAATTGTAGGCGGACACTCTTGCATCATCAGGATCATTTAGCAAATGTACCACTTGTGGTGCACGTCGTGTGAATCATTCAGCTTAATTTCTTGGTAAGTAAGGCACTGCTGTTGATGACATTGCCATTTTAGATGCTTCTATACATTGAGCTTTCACTCTGACATAAATTGTTATTTGGCTTTAGTGTCCTTTTACATTTATTTCGGAGTGAATTCAAAAATTGCAGCATTCATTTGAATACTTCAACCACACCAATATTTGCAAAGGCCTAAATACTTCCATAAAGAGAAAGTGGCCCTTAGAGTGAAGTACCACTAGTTTTGGTTTTGACAGTAAGTCGACCCCCTGACTTCACATTTCAAGTTTAGGTAACAATTGGTTGACCTGCAATTACGTAAATACATTGAATACAATATGGTAAACAGGAGAGTGCGCCACTTGCTTGGCGGTTGACGCAGGCGCCTGAGCCGTGCGGACAGCCGGGCCTTCATGATGTCACCCGGTGAAGGAGGAGGAGGCAGTGGTGGTGGCAGCGTGGACAGCAGTGGCGCCCTGGCCGTGATCCAGGAAGTGCTGTCGCAGCAGCAGGCTCACATCAAGCAAGGCTGGAGCTTGCTGGCTGCTCTGCACTGCGTCCTGCTGCCAGACCTGGTGCGCACCCCCGACTTCAAGAGACCCCAGGTCGAGATGCTTGCCCGCCGGTGGCAGGACCGCTGCCTGGAGGTATGCCCCCCTCCCCCTTATAAGCTTTACATTTTTGCACCTTTAGCTAATAACAGTAAATTTTATATTCCATGCTGATTTTGCAGAAGCGAGGCATTATTTTAAAAGCACTGTTCACAAAATGAGTTGATCGAATATGAGACCGAAACCACGTTTGAGGTAGTACAACAGCTGACCATATGTGACAGATGTACATTGTAACATCATCACATCACTGTTTGAGTATGGCTACCAATATGGCGTTATAACGCATTTTGAAGGTGATTCATACATGCCAATTTCATGCTCGATCAGGGTCTGTCTGCATCAAATCTGTTCCCAGTGAAGCGAAAAGGGTGAAGTGCCCCTTTTATTATGAAAGCTCATATCAAGGGAAAGCTATGTCACTTGCCAAAAACAACTATGTCACTTCTGTTGTGCGTGCCCAAAACCTGTGACCATAAGTGGTGCAGGAAAGTAAGAAATTTCCAGCTGCATACCGACCTAGACAAGTTTCTGCTGGCCAAAAATGAGAAAAATATCCGGATCTCGATGACAAGCTTACAGACGTCCTCAACCAGCTTCATGTAGACCTAGCTTGTTGGGGTTACAGGCCTTGAAATGGCTCACGGTTAAGGTGTATCCAGAAGTGACTTTAACAGCCAGCAAATTGGGTCACGGAATGCAAAAAAACTGCTAGCTGAATCAATTTGCCATAGTGGCATGCGATTGTTTTAAAAGGTCCCACCATCTTTTAAATAATTACGATGCACTCTTTGTAGTGTCTGTCCGCTGCCTTATCTAATGTCACCTTGTCTAAAAATTGAAATATCGCCACGATGTGGCTATGGTCGTTAATCTTTTAATAGGCTCAAGTTCACTTGAGGAATTGGGTTTATACACATCTTTTAGAAGCGCTGTGATTTCATTCATAGTGAATGAAACCAAGAGGAAGGTATAAAGCAGCTGTATCTTGCTGATACTTACACGGAGCTGAAAACTGGAGGCTTACAAAGAGGGTTAAACTTCAATTGAGGACGACATAGCAACCACAGAAAGGAAAATGATAGGTTCCACATTATGGGACAGGATGAGAGCAGAGTGGGTCAGGGAACAAACGAGTCTTAAGGACATCATAGTTGAAATCAGGAAGAAGAAATGGACCTGAGCAGGGCACGTGACACGTAGGCAAAACAACCGCAGGTTATTAACCTTTTCTCTGCTAATATTTTTTGCCTGAAAACGTTCCAAAAATATTGATTATTTTCTTATTTCATTTACGTGCCTTAAAACATCTAAAAAGTAAGAGTGTGTGAAAATTTCAAGCAGTGTTGACTGTTTGGTTTGACTTACACTGGAATTTTACTATTCTAACTATTCGAGCTTCCCACAGAAGTTCGAATAGTTCGAACACAGTCAATTGACAGTGCCCTCTCAGATTTTTATATGCTTTACCTCATTACATTTCTGTACTGCGGCAAAGCTGCTTTTCAGGCTCTGCTACAATCACAAGTGTATCACTTGGGTAAGCGCTGATTCCAACATAGAGATGAAAGATGGGGCAGAAATAAGGGCTCAATTAATGCTGTTCCTAACCAGACATTTGGGTAGGAAGTCCAAAGAATTGAACGCTGAAAATTTTTGGCATCTAAAATTTCAGATGTTTTTAAATATCGACATCTATGAGGCAGATTTGGAACTCCAGACTCAAAGGGGCACACTTTTGTCTGCCAGATCAGTTGGTCTTTTACAGAGGAGGAGAGGCTGAATAAATGTCATCTTAGCCTTTCATGCATAAAGTGTTGTCAACAACAAAACATGTACAGTAGACTCTCAGTGAACAGAAATCTTTTAAACGAAACTTCTGGCTCAATGGAACTATTGCCTTTGCAATGCTTGATTTCGGGCTTGTATTCTGCACCCATGTTCATTTCTCAGTAAACGGAACTCCTGTTAAATGGAACGTGTTTTCCCGGTCCCTTCAGGCTCCCTTTACTGAGAGTCTACTGTATATAAATACCATTCAGCCTCTGCATTGCCTCATTCTTTACAAGCCCAGCCCTGCCTGTGCTTGAGCAGCGTAGCCAAAGGAAACACTTTTGTTTCACTATCTAATAAGAATGTGCTTATGAATACGAATACGCCACCTTTTCCCTCTCTCCTCGCGTGAGTGCAAAGAGGTGGTGGAGTGCTGCCTCCGCTTCATTTCTTCTCTCCCGTTTATCTCTCTGCCACAGTTGTGCATTCGTGTATAATGCTGCCCGCGCTCGCTACGTTGCACTCTCCTTAGCAACGGCTCTGTGGACGTCAAGGTTGGCTTCAGTTGTAGCAGTATCAGTAACATTAGCGCAAGCAGTATAAGCAACACTGCTGAGCAGAAGATGAGAGCTCATGAAGCCGAACGTAAATGTGAGCAGCGCCAAGTAGACCCCGAATTCCGAGCTCGTGAAGTTGCAAAGAAACAAAAACAGTGGTTAGCGAATCCCGAACTCGAAGCTCACGAAGCTGAATGTAAGCGGCGGCAACGGGGAGGGAGCTGAAGGCCCGAACTCAGGGCTTGCGAAGCAGCGAAAGGCAACACTGAGCTGAAGACCGTAAAACTGTGAGGCAACGCAAAGGTGTGCTCTACGTGCAGGGAAGCATTAACGTCTGGCAAGGTCCCCGTGATTAGCATGACCCATAGCTACCACTACCGATTGAAGCCCCAACACCTACTCGAATTGATTGTGGTTGAAGAAGATCATCGCGCTTCGCCTGCTGTTCATGAGCATTTGACGCCTGACCCATGACGATAGCCAGTACAGAATCAAGGGCCAGGTAGTGAGCACGACATATACACAACTGCACACACAAATGAAACATACATGTAAAAATACAAATGGAAACCACAAATGGAAACAAGTGAACACCAGCACTGCTTCGCATCCCCACAAGTTCTATTTAGTAGGAGGTAATGTAATTTTTTTCTTCGACTTTTACTGTAAAGTATGAGAAAAATATTTTTAAAATATTCGAGAAATATTCAATTGAATTTGCACTTGCACTTCAATATTTTAATGTGCTTCACACTCAAAATATTTCTATTTGCACAGCTCTTCTTTAATCGGACACTTCATTTGAAAGATGCATGAGAAAAAAAATTTTGTGATGTGCGGAAGATAAGCTTCACTGCACTTCTCTATGGAAAATATCTTGTTTTGTCCAGTCTCCAGTGCGAATAATATCTGTTAGAAATTTTCAAAACTCAAGTGAGAACGTGAAAGCGAACTTTGGATGCAATGGTGGGCTTTTGCTTACATCGGACCAATACGCTATAGATGAAGTCGTTCAAATGCAATGATTTAGAGAAACTAGGCTGCTATGTGCACTTGCTGCCACACACACACAAGAACTGAAATTCTTTTTCGTAAATTTGGCAAACAAGGGCATTTTTTTTTCCTGAACCGTGCTGTTCCAGCACGCACACACCACTAGCGTGCAAAAAAGGTTATCGTTTTCAAATTCCTTTACGTGTATCAACTCTTTTTTTCAACCAAAATGCATGCTTTGAGCATGTTATTCTTATTTTTTTCACTGTGCTATCCGATGAAGCCAAAGAGAACACAGCAAAACAAATTGGGGTAGTTTAACTGCGGCACTCCCTAATGGTTGTTATGGGGTGAATGAGCCCAGCTCATCTTTAGTAGGAGTGGCCTTGCGTGGACAAGCTCAGTTCATCTGTAGCAAGAAGAGGGTTAAGAGTAACAGAATGGATTCCAAGAGAATGCAAATCTGCAAATGGCAGACAAAGTAAGGTGGGCAGATTAAATCAAGAAGTTTGTGGGCTGCAGAAAGTACAGGACTGGGTTGATTGAGCAAAGCCTACGCCGTGCCTTGAGTGCTGCCAGACTGATGAATGGAAATGTTAACCCTTTGAGTGTCGGATTTTTCTGAGAAAAGCTTTTCGAGGTGGTCGAGTTACTTTATTGTAGTTTTTGAATGTATGAAATGTGTAAAATAGGGAAAAACTGAATAAAGAAATTGACAGTTTTTTGGGTGTCAGCATTACTCAGAACAACAAAACGTTCACTAGTATTTCAGAACAAGGTATTCCTTGAATCACGAGCGTATGCAGATTGCCTTATTGCTGTCTGCACACATAACACGCATCTACCTTCCCTTCTTCCAGGACTGCCTTAGGCAGAGTGAACTCGGTTATTGAGGAAAAGAAGAATACCTCGCGAGTGTTGATGATAAACAAGCTAAGAGCGGCGTCAGTAAAGATGGGACTCAACTTCCACCACTTCTGTGCCAATAAATATAAATATAAATTTTCATGCACCTTCGTTGCGATCACATGGCGAAACCGAAACCACGAAAAGCCGAAAGGCCATTCACGTTGCCGCAGACCACGCAACATACTGATACTAGTAATCGGTTCCGTTTATCTCAGCAAGAAGTTAGCACAATCATTTCAATCGCTTCTTGTAAGTAATAGAAGGTGCAAGTAGCTCCCATCGAGCTACTCAGTATGGTGCATCATCAGTATGGTGGGAAATGTTAAGAGGAGGGTTCGAAATGTATCCATATAACAAGGAAACTGCAGAACAGAAAACCGCCGCCTTACATTCATGGCAAAAACACTCATAGGGTTAAAATTGTTTTTCAGAAGTTTCAATACTTTGAGTGCTGAAATTTCGGTGCAAATCGAATGGAATAGTGGACACCGTAGAAAAAATATTTGAAAGCTTTTGCATGCCTTCTAGTAATCTGTATAAAATAATTTTGAAGCAGACTTGGGCAGTAGCACAGTTCGAATATAATTGTGGGGCACACTTTTTAAGCAATTTAGTTTCTTGCGTTTAAAAATCTGCTATACTTATTCCAGGTCAGTCTATATAGCATGCTTTTAAACATTACAAAAAGGTTCATCAGGGTGCAGGTAATATCCAAACTTCACCTGTAAGTGTGGGTTTCTGCCAGCATGGAATATTCCCTCAATAGGCAGTTTGACAGCATGTGGCCCTGTGGGGCCATCACAACAACTTTTAGAACGGGTTACGGGCAGTAAAACAAATCTTCGATCATTTCAAATACTTCCAAGTGTTTTTTAAATTCAAGTCAATGTTGAGGCTCATTCAAATACTGCTGGGGTCTCAAAGACGTGGCCCGTGGGCAGCATGCGGCCCTCGGGCATTTCGCTGGAGGCCTACGGCTTCAGGAGGAGTGAAGTATTTGTTGCTGTTATAAACTGTATTGTCCTATTTACTCACCCATTGCGATTAACAACACTTTGTTTAGGCAAACTAGAAAGATGAGACTGTCTTAAAGTACTTTTCTAGCACGCACCCCATGCGGTCACTATATGTTGAACCATAACCGTGCATTAACAAAAATTTTATTTCAAAATCGATTCTTAAATTTCAGTCAACCTGGAAATCAGTATTATTGTTTTAAGAAAGTTATCACCCCCCTCCTCATCGTTTCAACCTTGATGACGCTCCTGACCCTTGCGGGACCTAGTTTCATGTTTGTCATCCGGTAGCTCTAAGGAGTTTGAGACCCATACAATACTCTGATATTTGTTCAAATATTTAGACTACATGCTTATTTGCACAGGTTTATTCTCATGGTGATTGGGTCGGCTACTTTCCAGGTGCGTGAGGCAGCCCAGGCATTGCTGCTCGCGGAACTCCGGCGCATTGGCCCCAAGGGCCGCAAGATGGTTGTGGACGAGTGGGCCGTATACCTGCCGAACTACGGCGAGGCCTTTCTTGCCTCGACCGCTGGGCCCACCCCACCGACACCTCAGCCGGGTCAGATGCCACAGCCGGCTTCTGGCATGGGTGGTGGCAGTCCAAGCTCCGTTGCACTTGAGGCAAGTCTCAAACCCATACCTGCCAAGTTCCCAGACTCCTGGATTTTGACCATTGCTTACATTTGTACGGTTGTCATAAAAATCTCCCGGAAATCGAATTTCTGTGCCCAATGTGGCCGCATTGTAAAAAATGCTGGTCAGTTTGATCAAGATTTTTCTAAGCCATCGTATCTTATTGTAAACTAATTTAGAAGGCGTTCGTCTAAACGTACAGGGAAATTTCAGGAATACGAAATGGGCAGATACGTATTCGTGAAATTCCATAGCCAGATTTCAGTGCGTCCATTGCGCCAAAGTTAGAATGTTCCGAACACTTCTCCTCATGGTTGCGGGTGATATATACATCAGTACCAAAACTGTCAAATGAAGGCAACGTGCTCAAAGCTTTGGAAGTACGCATGCGGCCAGCACACGCACCGTCTTCTACAATGCGTGGGGTGGTTGTTTGCCACAGCCGCTGTGGACGAAACTGAAGTCGCCCTTGACACGTCCATGTATGGTTTGACCAGTCAAAGCGACGCTGCTTTCTGCAAATGCTGCGGATAAAAGGGTGGCAGATTAGTTTTGAAAATGACTTAGTTTTGACGGCACGTGCACAGCCAGGGCACGTGGATTGAAAATGCAACTACTGTTTGCCGCAATGGCCGCGCACGAAACCGTGGTCGTGATAATGCATTAGCGATTTAAAAGGTCCTAGAACATGGGGCTAACGCAGCTGGATCAAAGGCAATAAAGACGTAAAAACTAGGGCACCCTTAAGCTTCCCCAAAAGTTGAACGCAATAGCAATATTTCAGTCAAACTTTGATGATGCAATATTTCAGGAGTATTTGTGCCCCCCCTTTAAGACTTGCACTCTTGTTGGGAAACCCTACCCTCGTGTTTTCAGCCACTCCAATCCATTATAAGACCGCAGTGCCAGTGTTTATGCTTGCGACCCCCCCCCCCCCCCCTTGCCATTGTTGTTTTGCAAAAAAAAAAAGGAGGCAAATAAATTGGCAGGACACCCCCGGTTGCGAAAATATTCCTGATTTAGAATTGTTCAACTTGGCAGCTATGCAAACCAATATTCTTTAGAATAACAGAGAGCTGATCTAGTTGGTAGATAATCATTCTGAAAGACCGGGCGTGCCAAGCACAGGCACAAGAAAGTAGTCAGGACACCACAAACGCCATCTAACAACTGAAGAGATGCACAAAGGCCGAAAAAGAAGGCACGAAAGCTTATCTGCACTCGCCCATGCAATATGGGAACCCATCAATCTGGCAGACATAGGAGTCCATGTGAAAAATACCTTTTAACGCATTTGATTTCATTTTTATGCTAGTTAATCAACAGTCAGCTCATGCAATGCACTTCCATTAATATTGATATCCATGCTTTAATCATCAGATGCGTTTGATCATTCCTATGCTGGTGCAAAACTGCATTCATCGAACTTTGGCGTGCATTTGCGTACTCGTCAATGTAAAGAAAGACTAGAAGATAAGCCTATGGCTAGCAATCTCTTATGTTACAGTAATCTCTGGTTAAAGGGACACTTAAAATTATGTAACGATTCATGTCAGAGTGGAATCTCAATGTATGACAGCATATAAAAGGGCAATATTATCAACTCCAGTGCCCTACTTATCAAGAAATTGAGCTAAATGTATCGCATCATGTGTGTCACAAGGGAAAAATTTTGGAAATGATCCATATGACGTTAAAGCGATCAACTACAAGTAATTCCTGGTAATCAAACAAGCTGCAATGAAAAAAGAATCTTCTGTGCATCAAGAGAAGTAATAAAATGCTGCTTGTTCGTTTCTGTTTGATTTATAGAAAAAATAACCGCCTGGCGTTACTATGGGGAATGGCACGAATAGTTCAAAAGTTCCGTTTTCGCCTGGTTAGGCTGGATAGCTGGTGCATCTAGCATGACCCAGTTGAACCGAGCACGCTGAAAATTGTTCAATGGCTGTTGTTGCTGTGGGGCTCATGCTACTTTCGCTCTGCTACTACTGGTGTAGGCAGCCACTCGCCAAAGGCGGGCAACGTTGGGCATGGCAACAGTGGCTTCTAAAAGACCACTTTCAAGAAGGTGAATTAAAGTGCGCCAACGTGGTGCAGACCGCTAAAACATCATTTTCTTGCAAAATAAGCATTGCCTTCGCACACAAGTAGCACCATGAGGTTTCTGGACCAGTATTTCAATAATAAACGTCGACTTTCTGCCTTTAGTGTCCCTTTAATACAGCATCTTGTCTGTCCAACATAGAAGCGGCCGCACCCCGCAGGGGCGTCTGTGAAAGCAGGCGTTTGATGTGTAGCGACACCACGGAACCGAGCCAACTGAGGGGTTTTGACTCTCTCCCACGCCTAGCCGTGCGTGGCTTTGCCATGTCCAGAGAAAAGGGAATCCTGGGGGTTGAGGTGACGCCGGGTGATTGAACCTTTAAGGCCCCCCGGCAGAGGCAACACACCCCTTTGGCCCCGGCACCCCTGGGCTGACCCACCCAGAGGAAATCGGCAGTCGCCTTTTCCTATCTCTCTCTCTGTCTACAACTTAGTCTTTTCTCCTCTTTAAATTTATCCTGTCTTCCCTCTTCCATTTACTTCCGATTTTTCTTGGCGGCAAGGGTTAACCTTGTGTATGTGCTTTGTCTTGTGCACAATATATTTGATTATAGTGGCTGTGAACAGCTGATGTTGACATGGCTCATATAATCTTAGGACCTGTCACGTCCCCGTGTTGGGCTTCACGATGGGTGGCTGGCATGGCTGCCGAACTTACACCTATTTTATGGCTTTACTACTCTTCCTTCACTGCACAATCCTCCTCTCTCGAAGAGAGGGTGATCTGAAGACATTTATAATTATTTCAGAAAACCCAAACAGACTTTTCCCCGCTACCATGTAATCCACTGTGAAACTGCTGAAAAGAACGGCAGAACAATCTCGCCTTTTGTTGTCTTCAAATGCCTCACCCCTGCACTTGGCCCAAGTTACCAGGCTACAAGAATGGCCAGGGACATCTCCTCCTCGAGATAAAAAGTCAGACCCAGTATGAAAACCTCTCGAAACTAGAATCGTTTGGAAATATTTATATCTCAATTACACCACAGTGCTCACTCAACATTTCCCGAGGCGTTGTGTCCGATCAAGACTTGCTTTGCCTGACTGAAGGTGAGCTCCTAGAGGGCTGGAAGGACCAGCAGGTGACACAAGTACCAAGAATCAAAATTAGGTGTGATAGGAAGAAAGTCCCAACAAAACACATAATTGTGACGTTTAGCACCATTACCCTGCCTGAACATCTCGAAACAGGATACTTGAAGTTAAATGTGCGACCCTACATCCCCAACCCACGACGTTGCTTTATGTGCCAGCGTTTTGGTCACGGCTCTCAGAGTTGCCGCGGCCAACTCACCTGTGGAAAGTGCGCCACCACAGGACACGCCACAGACGATTGTAAGGTGGAGGATGGGGCCCACTGCGCAAACTGCGATGGTGCCCACCCTGCATTCTCCCGAACCTGTCCAACATGGAAAAAGGGAAAAGAAATAGTTACAATCAAAATCACACAAAACATGACTTTTTGAGAAGCCCGACAACAGGTATCTGGTCTTTTCACAAATAAACCATCGTTCGCCGATGTAGTGCAACAGGACGCAGCGCTACAATGGCCTGCGGCAGCTGCCCATGCCAAGCACAGTGTGCCCCCCCCCCATGGTTGGAATAGCCAAGGCTGCCCTGCCACTTGTCCCCACGGCCACACCAGCGGCTGCTGCAAGCTCTTGCAGCAGCCAGGGTAACCCAGCAGCAAAGGAGGTCCTCTTGACCTCTGTTTCGATGGGACCAAAGGTTACGCCTCCCGAGGTGAAGGAGACTTCAGGGTTGGCAGATATAAAGGCCTCGGCTCACCAGGCGAGGCCCCAAGCTCGAAACACCAGCTCGCAAATGCGGGCACGATGTGCCGCTGAGGAGGCTATAGATACCAGGGTACCCCTGATGCCAAAAGATCGGCGTAGCTTTCTGGAGAGCGCCAAGAAAAATAAAAAGCTGATAACGGGTCCCGATTACGGCCCTGTTACCTGAGTCTTAATGTCCAGCTTAAACAGCAGACACACCCATTTTGTACACTCAGCACTACTTTACTTCCAATATGGAAACACAAATTATGCATTGGAACGTCAGAGGACTCCTTAAAAACCTCAACGACATCCAAGAGCTCTTACAGAAACACTCACCACAAGTGCTGTGTGTACAGGAAACATACCTAAAATCCTCCAATACAAATTTTCTACGGGCTTGTGTCATATTCGGAAAAGACCGAGATGATGCTGTAGCGTCATCATGTGGCGTGGCCATTATGGTAAATCAAGGAGTAGCGTGTACACATTTACCACTCCAGACATCCCTTAAAGCAGTGGCTGTCTGAGCAGTACTTCTAAATAAACTCGTCACCGTCTACTTTCTGTACATACTTCCGCACCACCGTCTTGAAAGACGTGAATTCCAGTCTTTAATAAACGAACTACCTGAACCTTATCTGCTCGTTGGGGACCTAAATGCACATAGCAGTCTGTGGGGAGATTCTCGCTGTGTTGTATGAGGTCGTCTCATTGAACAGTTTCTTTTCTCTTCAGGTGCCTGTCTATTGAATAGGAAAGAGCCAACATATACTATAATGTCGCCAACAAAACTTGCTCATCTATAGACCTCAGCATCATATCTCCTTCACTTCTACCCCTACTGAAATGGAAAATCATAAATAATCCATATGGAAGAGACCATTTTACTGTAGTGTTGAGTTCACCAACAACATATGAATGTTCTCCACATGTTCCCAAATAGCTGATAAACAAAGCAGACTGGGAACAGTTTCACAACACTACTCGTTTAAGTTGAACTGACATATGTAGGTTAAACATAGATGAAGCTGTGCAGTACTTCACAGCTTTTCTTATTGATGCAGCAGCCAAATAAATACTGCAAACATCTGGTATGCCTGGCAA